GCATGTGCCCGCAACCAAGGTACATGCCCTTGGCCGGAATCGAACCTGGGACCTTTCAGTCCGCAGGCCGACACTCTATCCACTGAGCCAAACCGGTCAGGGCAAGTTTCTTTGTTTTTAAAGTGTTGCATGTGCAGTATTAAATCAACTTTCAGGTTACAGAAATCCATAATGATGACAAGTAATACTTTTATAAAAGATCAGCAAGCAGTTAAACAAGAATAATTTTTTCAAGTATGAAGACATTAAAAGATGAAAAAAACTCATTAGGCACATTCTAATCCAAATAATGCTAAAAATAAAATGTTCACTTGTATATTTAAGGAAGGATATAGAGGTCCTAAGAAGGAATGTCAGATTGTCAGAGACAAATATTGGTATATAAACTCAAAATGGTTTTGAATTTTTTGGTAACAAATATTGTCTGACAAAACAGGAACAAAAATACTTATCAAAAATAAGGCAACAAGTCTGTCCACTGTTCAGAAGCTATATCATAGAATGTTTTGGGGGAAATTTCATAGCCAATAGTTACTTCATCCATGTTATCATCACTGTCTGCACAAAATCATCTCCAGTGTCAAAGTATGAATGAATGTAGTCATTTTCCTCTTCTTGCTCTTCTTCATCATATTCCTCTTCTCCGGTATCATCTTCCTCATGATCAGGATCTTTGTTACCTTTCTCCTTTCTTCCTTCTTGCTCTTCACTTTCCTCATTGAATTTTCCACCGTCGCCAGTTTTCCAATTTCTCAGCAAATTGTCAGTATTAGTGAGTGAGGTGTCTTTGTCTGGATCATTCAGCTTTTTGGATTTGGGACCTGCTTTCTTTGTATTTTTTCCTTGGCATCATCTCTTGAGAGTTCACTCTTTGTACACCTTCATATATCTTTTACCATATCTTTCAATATCTTGTTTGTCTTCAGATAACATAATGTATATTCCACCAATGGACTGTTACACTATTGTGTGTTTGATGGCATTCTCAGCTGTACCAGTGAGATTAACAGTTTCCTCTGTATTCGTGTTTCTATTTACTATTCTTTCATTTCATCTTGAAGAACTTCTTTTCGCATTTGTAATAAGTCAGGTTGAGTGGCGATGAACTTCCTTAGGTTTTGTTTGTCTGAGTAAGTATTTCTTCTTCTTTCTAAAGAACAGGTTTTCTGGCTAATGTATTAATGTTTTTTTATGAAGTATTTTGAATATATCATTTTATTTTCTCCTGGACGGCAAGATTTATTGGGTCAAGTCTACTTAAAACCCTTATTCGGTCGTTTTCCGGTATGCAAGGAGTTTCCCTTGTGCTTTCACAATTCTCTTTGCCTTTGGTTTTCTGATACTTTGATTATGCTGTGTCTTGGTGAAGTCCAGTTTGCATTGGATCTATACAGGGACCTGTGAGAGTGCATGCACTTGATTATTCACATCTCTTATTTGGGGAGTCTATCTTCAGCTTGTTTTTTAAAATAAACTTTCTGCACCTTTTTCTTTTTCCCTCCCTGTTCTTTCTCTCTGTCTCTTCCCGTCCCCCAGTATTTCCTAGGATTCCCATAATGCAGTATTGGCTCTCTTAAAGGTGTTACTTAATTTACATTGCTGTATTCTTTACATTTATTTTTCTTTTTTTCTCTCCCCCTGGATTTATTTTAAATGACATGTCTTTGACATCACGTATTCTTTCATGTCTGATTTTGATACTCTTCATTCCATTTTTTCATTTCACTCATTGTAATTTGTCAACTCCAGCATTTGTTTCATTCTTTTTTTTTTTTTTTTTTTATGATTTCTGTCTATCTGATATTCTCCTTTTGCTTCTGTGTTGGTTTCTTTATTATGTTGGTTCTATTTGTGTTTTCTTGTAGCCCATGGTTGTTTTTAAAAGTAAATATTTTAAATGGATTCCTCATCAGGCTGTACATAGATCTCCATTAGTTTTGTATTGATTAGTGGAAAATTATTATGTTGTCATGGTGGTGTCTTTGTTTTTAGTATTTGATTCAGACCTGTGTTGCTGCCTCTACATTTGATGAAGCAGTTGCCCTTTTATTCCTTTCAGCCTTAGGGACCAATTCTGGCCGTGAGAAATAGATTTATCTGTATATGGAATCAAAGGTGTTCGCTGGGAGAGGTGTTGTTTTGATCTTGAGAACAGGTTCAACAGCCTTGCCTCCTTGATGTCCTATGAACTGAGGTCATAACAACAATGTATGAGTCCACAGTGGATTTGGCAGCAATTTTTTTTCCATGACAATTGAGGGTCTTGGAGTCTGTGGTGGAAAATACTGCTTAGGTATACTGATTTTTGTTTCTTTTCTTGAGTAGGTTGCGGCCAAAGATATTTCTTTTATAATTCATGCCAACAAACTGAGTCCTTTGATGTGTTGTGGGGAGTTCACAGATGTTACATGGACTTTTGTGGTTTTTTAAAACAAAATTTTCCAGCGATTTGTATAGAAAAGGCCACCAGCATCAGTGGCTGATAGAGGTAACTCCAAACCTTGTTTTTTTGTGTTTTTTTTTTAAATATATTTTATTGATTTTTTACAGCGAGGAAGGGAGAGGGATAGAGAGTCAGAAACATCGATGAGAGAGAAACATCGATCAGCTGCCTCCTGCACACC